GTCAGTGATATGAGGTGTTAGGAGTCTCGAAGGATTACTCTGCCGCTACAAAAGCTATTGTTGGTGGAATAAAGTGGTCCAAAGTAAAGTGGAAGCGAAGATGGAGGCGTATCTCACGTTAGTAGAGAGCACATGCGAGGAAGAGAGGAGAGCGAACAGAGAGAGGTATAAGGTAGCTAGGAAGGAAGCGAAGCTGGCGGTCACGGAGGCTAAGACTGCGGCTTTTTGTCGTTTGTACAAGGAGCTAGGGGCCAAAGGTGGGGAAAAGAAAGTATTTCGACTGGACAAGGAAAGAGAGAGGAAGGCTCGGGATCTGGACCAAGTGAGGTGCATCAAAGATGAGGACAATAGAGTATTGATAGGAAAAGCCCAGATTAAGCGGAGATGGCAGGCTTACTTTCATAAACTTCTGAATGAAGAAGGGGATCGGGATATTGTGTTAGGCGAGTTGGGGCATTCTGAGAATCACCATTACTTTGGGTACTATATATGCAACAAGGTTGAGTAGGTCGTGGAGGCTATGCGTAAGATGAGCAGGGGCAGAGCTACCGGGTCTCACGAGATTCTGGTAGAATTTTGGAAGCGTATGGGTAGAGCAAATTTGGAATGGCTGATTGGGTTATTTAATGTTATTTTTAGGACGAAGAGGATGATGGATGAGTGAAGGTGGAGTACTATAGTTCCATTGTATAAGAACAAAGGGGATATTTAGAGTTGTAACAATTATAGGGGTATCAAATTACTGAATTATACCATGAAAGTTTGGGAGAGGGTGGTAGAAGCGAGGGTGAGGTGGATAGTGTCTATATCTGACAACTAGTTCGATTTTATGTCGGGTCGTTCTACTACGGAAGCTATCCACCTTATTAGGAGATTGGTGGAACAGTACAGGGATAGGAAGAAGGATCTGCACATGGTGTTTATTGAGAAAACATATGACAAGGTTCCTAGAGAGGTTCTTTGGAGACGACTAGAGGCTAAATGTGTGTGGGCTGCTTATATTAGGGTGATTAAGGACATGTATGATGGAGCTAAGACTCGATTTAGGAAAATGGGAGGCGACTCTGAGCATTTTTCGATTGTTATGGGGTGATATAAGCACTAACACAACATATTCAAGGGAAGGTGACATGGTATATGCTATTCGCTGACGACATAGTTATGATAGATGAGACGCGAAGTGGCGTTAATGAGAGGCTGCATGTTTGTAGACATGCCCTTGAGTCTAAGGGTTTCAAGTTGAGCAAGACTTAGACGGAATATCTCAAGTGTAAGTTTAGTGCCAAGCCGAAGGAAGCAGGCATGGACGTCAGGCTTGGGTCGCAGGTTAATCCCAAGAGAGGTCGCTTCAAATACCTTGTGTCGACTATCCAGGGGGATGTGAAGATCGACGAAGATGTCACACACCGTACATGAGTGAGGTAGATGAAATAGAGGTTGGCATATGGAGCCTTGTGTGACAAGAAAGTGCCATCACTACTCAAAGGTAAGTTTTATAGAGCGGTGGTTAGACCAGATATGTTGTATGGGGTTGAGTGTTGGCCAGTTAACAACTCACATATCCAGAAGATAAAAGTAACAAAAATGAGAATGTTGAGGTGGATGTGCGGGCACACTAGGATGGATAAGATTAGAAATGGATATATTCAGAGAAGGTGGGCGTGACTCCCATGGATGACAAGATGTGGGAAATGAATCATGTACAGAGGAGAAGCCTAGATGCCCCAGTAAGGAGGTGCAAGCAGTTTGCGTTGGTGCGTATGAGGAGAGATAGAGGACAGCCTAAAAAGTATTGGGGAGAGGTGATCAGGCGGGATATGGTAAGGCTTCAGATCTCCGAGGACATGGCCCTCGATAGAAAGTTGTGGAGGTCGAGCATTAAGGTTGTATGTTAGGACGTAGTTGAGCATATTTCTTACTCGTACCAGTGTGAAGCTAGTCTAATAGGATTTTGTTTTCGATTGCTAGTTGTCAATATTATGTTCACACTACTCTTCCATTTGCATAGTGTCGGACCTTATTTACTGGTTATTATTTGCTTTTCATCTATTTACTCTATACCATCATTTGCTCTGTTATAATCAATGAGCGAGGTAGTAGTAGTGGGACTGGACCCGAGGGCCTTTTTTTAAGAGGTGATTTCGAGAATCAACCAAGGGAAAAATTCGTAGCCCAGGTGACTCACAACCATCTTTAGAATTGTAATCCTCCCACAACATATAAGCTACTAATACGTTTTTCCCCAAAGCAAGTTCGCCACCAACCGTAGCAGCACCATCCGCTAAAATTTGTCCTTTTTTAATGCATTTACCCCGAGGAACCTGGAGTTTTTGATGCATACAAGTATTTTTATTGGAACGTTGATATATAACTAATATATCTTTCTTTTTGAAAATTCAAAATTGAAGTAATTGAGGTTACACAAAATCTCCACTAAAAAAGGAAAAAGTGGAATCTGAAAAAATATTCTCTAAGGATAATGTAACTGAGTGAAATTCATTTTGTATCGTACAAGAAAGGAATTCCATTTGTGTATGTGCTCCCAATAAAAAGAAATAAGGTACTCTATTCCATTACATACAGGGCGGCAGAATAGAAGTTTCACTACTAGCTTTTAGTCTTAAGCAGGCAGCGGTGGTCAAGAATGAATGTTATACTAAACTATCCGTTATTTCATTAGGACAACACTTGCTTAGTCTTTTTCTAGATTGATTGCGAAGCATGGTTTGGAAAGGTCATTCTTGTGTTGTTATTATTTCTATGTTTTTTGTTGATGGTCCTGATTTATTGTCTTTTTTCGTCTTCTTGAGCCGAGGGTTTATCGGAAACAACCTCAGGATAGAGGTAAAGTCTGCGTACACATTACTCTCCCCGAACTCCACCTGTGGGACTTTACTGGATCGTCGTCGTCGTCGTTGTTGTATTTGTCAAAAATGGACTAAGAATAAATATTGTCGTATTACTCTCGGTTAAGTAGCCAAATACAGATTCTTATACTGTTCATCATCCAAAGATATTTACAGGGCAGTTAAGATTGTACCCAGGGGCGTAAGCAGGATTTTTCATAAGTGGTGTCAAACAGGAAGTGCCCAAATGAACGAGCCACTATAATAACATTATTAGGGTTCTAAATCAACTCGAGTTATTGTGAATTTTTTATTTTTATTTTTGGACAATAAAAATTACTTAGCACTTATGTGACCAAAAAAATCTTTGAACCTTTACAGCTTCCACTTTTTAATACAAATGAGGATTTACTTTTTAACAAAAGTGGCTTAAGACCTCCAAAACTAATACTTGTGCAATCAAGTTTCGAACCCTCGAACCTTGGTATACTACAAATTTGACCACTCGACCAGCAAACCATACGGTACCTGCTGTCTTGCAATGTCACTTACTTTACATATATTTGTATATTGAAATAATATATATAATTAGTAAAGATTTTCGACGAAGTGGTATCGAATGACACCGCTTCGCCTAACGTAAATCCGCCCCTGATTGTACCAAACAGAACAGTTATTTCCATATATATGATGTGTTATGTAAATAATTGTGATATTATTCATTCCTTAAGTAGATATAACAAACAAAAGTTTAAACTCTATACCTTTTCCATCTACTACTATTGTGATCAAGAACCACTATTATTCTAAAATCAGTTTATTTTGAGAATTGCTTTTTTCAAAAGTACTTTTGGTGATAAACCGTTTGTGTTTGACTACTTAATTTAGAAAATAATTTTGAACAATAATTAGTGTTTAACCAAATTTTTAAAAATTTCTTATAGGTGTATTTTTCTTTAAAAAGTGTGTTTTTGGAGAAAAGCAATTTTTTTGTATTTCTCAAAACTGTTTCTGCCCCTCCTCGAAAATATTTTTTTTTTCTTTCTAAAAAACTTGACCAAATATTTCAATCTTTAGAAAAAATCACTTTTGCAAAACCTAACGTGCTTTGGTCTTATCTGACTAACTATTATTACACACACACAGCCGACAAGAATTTTTTTTTCAAAGAAAAAACCAAACAAAAAAACTAAAACAGTGGGTGGCCTTTGAGAATAATCTTGTGGACGAGAAGGTGAAATTTTGATCTCACATCCATCGCATAGGGAAGTAAAGATATTTTGTGAACATAAAATTCAAAAATATCAGAAATTTGACGATTGAAAATTTCGCCCTCCCCTGATTTGTCAATCGTGTACTGCTACTCCTCTGTTCCAAATTAATTATCATGTTTAAGAGTCAATTTGATTGATCTTTGAAGTTAAAGTAGATTACATCAACTCAATTTTTAAGCTACAATTTAGATATTCAAAAAATTATATAAAAAGTACTATATATTGTAATTTTCCTCCTATCAATATGATAAAAGTATATTTTAAAACGTTGATAAATATCATAGAATTTGACTTTCAAGAAGCGAAATGTGATATTTAATTTGGGACGAAGGAAATACTAATATTCCTCGTTTTCCTAAAATATATTTCCTACTCAATTCGATCCACAATAAGTGATTTTTTTTTCCTTTTCTGGTTGTCTAAAATATTTAATTTTTTCAAATTTCAAGACTGAATTAATTATTTTTTCCTACATTCCCTTTTGAATAAATAGTGTTGGAGTAGTGTTATGAGTGTTTACGTGAAGAGATAGTAAAAGTTAATATGATCAATTTAATTGTTAGTTAATATTAAAAGGTAAATTTTTTAATTTATGTAAAAATAACTAAAAAATCACGTATTGTGGACTGGAGGGCAAATATATATATATATATATATATATATATATATATATATATATATATATATATATATACATATATATGTT